GTTCATGATGCTGCAATATGTATATATAAAGTCAAGAAAGAATGATGGAACTGATTTGAGGTAAAAAAATATGGAAGACGATGATAGTAAATAAGGATGAAGATTGGAATAACTGATGTGGAAAATTTTCCCCTACATTTGTGATTTTTTTCTTTTACCAAATCATGAATTATTTTCACACTAGGTTGCTGTTAAAAATATTCAAATAGTTTTATAAATGTAGTTTAGCAGCGACATGGCTAGAGGTTCGTTTCTAGGGCTGACGCAACCTACGTTAGAGGGTTCCAATCTAGAGCTTCCTTAGGGCAACCATCCCTTAAAATCAATTACAATGTAGTATCCTCTATAGCAGTGTTGTCCAAAGTTTTTGAGCCATGGCACACCTGAGGGGTAAGCCATGACCGAGGTTGCACACAGCATGCGGCTCGTGTCAATTTCAAAAAAATTCTACGGCACACGAGTGGACCGCATAACACAGTTTGGACAACACTGCTCTAAAGTATGAATAATATTTTATTATGACTTGTATACGATTGCCTGTATGTGATAAAAAGGAAGTCGGTTGAAAATCCAAGTCATCAAATTTTAGCGCGAAACGAGACAACCCCGTTGGTTCCACAACAGCACCAAACCAATCAAAGAGTTTTTGTCACAATGACAAGCTGCAAAGTTTTCAATCTAATTTGATTGTTTTTATTAGCTAGTTTATTTTATAATTTACAATCTGTATTCCATTTATTTCTCATTCAAATGTTGGAGCTAACTACTTTGAGCGTGAACAAAATAACAACACATCCAATAAAAATAAAGAAGAAGCTTTCAGATAATAAAAAAGTGGCGAATAAGCACAAATCCGGTAATAAATAAATAAAGGGAATAAAGCGAGCTTTGATGTGAACAATAAAGATGCACATATGTGTTTCTATTCACGTATGTATGGAGATATGTGTCCTGTCCGGTGAATGAAACAGAGGGAAAAACTTTAGATCAGCAATACAAAAGAAAAGCAAAAACAGGGATAGATTTAATTGGATGAAAATTCACATCAGTTCTCTGTTCGGACTCTGTATGCATTTTTTAGTTCCTTCCGTTGCTGATTTCTTTTTTTTTGTATGAATGTAGAATTGAATGCACATGACAGTGCTCACTCCAAGCAACTTGTCAGATCTTTTGCATGCATACATGGCAATGTTAAATTGGCATGACTTAGTATTCTTCTCAGAGTCTAGTTTAGGATAGAAAAAAAAATCTCTTCATCAGCTTTCAAATGAGGACGAGTGACATTCTTGATAGCATTGAACACGTTAAAATTCTGTCATCTGATTTGATATTGACCTAAGGGCAAGGCTAAGGGTGTAGAACTAATCAAAATGTTTTCAAATTTTGGTTGATTAGTTTCGTACCATTGGACATAGCAAGGATTTTGTTTGGTTTCGTAGCGACTGCACCCCTTCAATTTATTCAATTTTCAATTAAAATAATAACGATTCATTAAGATGGAAGACACAAAATATTGTCTCATAAAAATTTATCATTAAATCAGTTTTGATTAATTTCAGTTTTATTTTCATGTCAGGTGGGAAAATATAACTAGAAGATATAAACTGAAATTAATATAAAAGAGAGTACAACAATGTTGAATGAAAAAGTAGTAAAAATTTTATGAAGCTTGTTTGACAAGCTGTTATTATAAATGAGGTGAAATAAAGGTAGAAAATTTTCCGAAAGTTAATCAAGCTGTTGTCGTTTTGCTTTAGAACGAATTAAATATGGATGAGCAGTGTGATTAAAAATTGTGATTGTAATTAGTATTTACGAAAAAAATGGTAATTAAAAGTTAAGAGATTTAATTTTGAGACATGTTTTAAGTTGAATTTTTAAAAAGGAAGGAGTTAATTGTCAACTGTTGAATAGAGCATGGGTGGGAAATTATTTCTGTTCATTAAAAAAGGATTTTTTTTAAAAAAATCATTAAAAATAGAAACTCGCACTATTCCTACCAACTCATCAATGTCTAATTTTCATAAAATTATACAACAACTTTCAACCATCATTTGCAATACTCACCTGTCAGATTATAATTAGATTTAATACCAAGCATGAAAATAAATAAAGCAGAAAAAGGAAAAGAGATACAATTCGCAATAGCTCAATCAATAATGAAACTCTATTCTCGATGGTGCAATAAAAACTCAATTCAAAGCATGTCTGTAGTGCTTTTCGCTCAATACCCAATGGTGCTTAAACTTGATAATGAGTTTGCCTTACTTCGAAAAATATTCTCTCTCTCTCTCATTTTGGTATTGTAGCTTCTACTACTTTTTAATGTGGAATTTTTCTTTCATTTATGTTGAAAAATGAAATTTTATTATTTGAACAAACTGAAGTTCTTTTTTTGGATTTCATTTTTTTTTATCGAAATTGACTCTTGTTGACTAGATGATTCTATGTAATGAAAGAATCAGTACATCAGATTATTTTGTTTAAAAGTTTTATTTGGATCGGATTTTTTTTCTTGCAAAGAAAAGTTGTTCTGCAAAAGCTTGGAGTGGATTGCTAGAAAATAATAAGCTTGGGGTATTTTTACTTATTTCGTCCCGTTCTCAAACACACATTTCTGAAATTTTTAGAATTCATAGTTAAATACGCCTTGAAATTCTAAGTTTGACACCCCTTAAGATTCTTAGTTTGACACCCCTTGTGATTCTTCTTCCTTCCCATAAAACCGTTACGTAATAAGTGAATGGTTCCTTGTTAAAGTCTTGCCTTAAATGACCATCGATTTAGCAATATCATACAAAATTATATAATTTATATTTCAACTTTTTGCGATTCCAAATGGCGAACATTTTCCATCTTCCTTTTATTCATTCATTTATTGCTATAATTTTTTATTTCTGCACATAAATATAAATTTTATTGCCACGATATTTTTACCTTCTTCCTTTTCGTATTCAACATCCAACAATCACATATGTTGATCCTTGTGTGTATACATATGTGGATTCACATATTGATTGGAAAATAATCGCAGGTAATTTAAACATTGTCAAGTGCCTTATTTTAATATACGCGTACATTGTTGAATGTGCGAAAGATAGAGATAGAATTAAATAAATTAAGGTGATTGCTGGTATTGCTTGTGATAAATTGAGTATTTTTGTGGATTAAATTTACGTTAATTACGAACGCGTAATTTGCTATGAAAAACATTTAAACGTGTTTATCAAGAGACGCGGTTTTTTCACAATAATGCTAGCACATGAATAATAAAATAAAGTCGATAACAATATTAAAAGTTTTTTTGACTGTAGAAATTTTATAGCTTCAAACATAAAATTGTCAATGTTTTGGGGAATTTTGTGATTTATTTATTAAAAAACTTTTCAAAATTTTAATCTTAAACATTTCTTTTATTTATTTGCAGGTATGTGTCTTTTGAAGGAAACTCATGGAAGTGCTTTTAATTTTCGATGACTAAACATTTTAATCATTAAAATGAGGTATTTTAAAAATATTGTGCGTTTGATGGATTCAAATACTTACAATAAATTTAAAAAAAACTTGAAAAATTCAAAAATTGAAAAATTTAAAAATTGAAAAATTTTAAAAAATCTTTTCGAACTAGAGATTCCTTGTGATTAGCTTTTAGCGCCATTTGACAGCACCCTTTCTGATTTTTAGCCAACTTTTTGAATGCAGAAACCTGCTATCTCTCTTAAATTCTATAAAAATAACAGAAAAACCAAAAAAACAAAACAAATTCAGCTGTATAAAAATAATAAAATTTTATTTATTTAATCGCTTAATACAATTAATTTAACTGAAATTCCATACATTCGTACAATTATCCAAATTATAATAGACAAAATTATATTAAACCCCAAAAAATAACATACATGCGAATTATCGCCATACAATTTAACATTAATTAAGACATTATATATTTATCTATTAAGTAATTAAACATCACAGTGGTTTTTTTCTCCTTTTTACTTTTTTTTTGTTCATATTGTCTGTATCAGATCCATTTGTATAGGTCAGGATTAAATAGAACGCAGAGGGATATATTTTATATATCCAAAAAATCTGATGGTTTTTCTGCTAATAAATTAATTTTTTTTTTCTTTTGTCTTCATATCTCAAAAACAATAGACATCGCGAATGAATGTAAAGGTATTGAAAAATAATTTTTAAGGATATCTAATTGTAGGATCGCATGTACCATATCATGTGACATACAATGATTACATTAATAATCATAAAAATTTCTATAATTAGAGCTTCTAGCATTAGAACATAATAATTATAATTTTATTAGACAACAGAGAGTGGTGAGAGAAAGTAAACTCATATATTGAATGAACAGCAACTGAATGAGGGCTTGTGAACCCTTTCTGTAATATGGTTGATTATTTTATTATTTTGAGATATTAATTAATCAATATACACCTGACATTTTCCTTTTTTTTGTCTCCTCTAACCCTTATACTCATTTACAATTTAAGGCTAAAAATTGGAATATTTTATATGTCTACGTATGGGGCGGAATTTTTTATCGAAAGCAATTTAAAAACATATTTTTGTCGATATAATAAATAAAGTTCGTGGTGGAGAAAGGGAGATGCTTTTAACTTTTTCCATCTATAACGTACGTTCATAAATATTCTTCTAGTTTTATGGTAAAAATTTTCTTTGATATTTGAGAGAAAAATATTTCATTCCTGTATACATTATGAATATTAATTAAATATACTTATGCCTATGTACCAGTAATATAATGATGAAAAATTTTTAATGAATTTTATTTTCTTGTATCATGCGTTATTTAATAAGTTTTTCTAATATTGCTATTTTTAAAAGAGATTTCCTTACGTAATACATGAATGAGCCCCAGCAATCTTTTTACATGCCTTCATTCAACTCTCCTTTTAAGTTGCCCAGTTTATTCCGAATTCTAATAAAGTTATTTGTTTTTGTTCATATGAAAATTAAAGTTTTGTGCGTATCAACCTAATTCCTCTATATAACTCAATAAGGAACCTTAAAAATAATTTTGTGCATAGTTATTTAATTATTTCATGGCCATCACCCAAGCTCAAATCCTAATATGTCATCAAGATTGTAATCAAAGAGTTTGAAGTCACTCTCGTATAATTTATAAAGATTCCTTATTAATCCTAAAGGTAATTGATCAATGTAATGTTGCAACTTTTCACTAGTTCCTGATGTTCTTGTAACCTTTGGGAATGTAATATTATCGGCGCCAATCATGTGTAAGGCAAGTGCTGAATCGTCATTTATCGTCTCATATTTGCCAATTACATTGTACTTAATTAAGCATGGATGACACAATCGTGCGATAGATTCCCAATGCTCATTAAACGATGATTGATTGGATTGATAATTCATACTCAATTCGGGCGTTAATAAATAACGTACGAACTCATCAAATGTGACATCGTGACCATTCATTAATGAATCACGGGATGCATGCGGACGAAAGTTCTTGATTATCAATCTACCAATACGTGTCTGTTGATGTTGATGATGTCCAAGTGTATTATATTAATTTTATACATCCATATAAGTTTATTTATTTATTCGGTCAATGGGATGATTTGTAGGATGGAGGAAATTATGTGGTCCAATATGGTCAAAGATATCGGAATTGTTTTCGACATCATCAGCAACAATGAAGCAGGGAAATGAAGAGGAAAAAAAAGAACAAAGAAGAAAAGTGAAATTTAATTAAATCTATATGAACACACACACATTTATCTTTTGAATATTTTATATGATATAAGATTCCCACTGTGCCTTGTATTTAGATGTAATTTTTGAGTGTCTAATGACATTAGAACAGTAAGGAATATTAATTGGATCTGATAGTTTCTCATGACTTTAATTCAATAGTAGGGTTACATTAAAGCAGTTTGTAGGGCTACATGGGAAATTCAATGTTAAACCAGCCCCTGAGTTGAATGAACAAAGCTTATATAAAATTAAAAATTCGTCCCGAAACTCTTCTAGAATTTAAAAACTCGGAAAACATTAATTAAAAATTAAAACTTTTATTTTCTGCTTATATTTGATGAATTTCGTATTCATCCCTACCAGAAAAGTCTAAGATATTTCATTTCCATTTTTGTTTAGGAATACAATAAAAGAACATCTTACTAAATGAAAAGAAAGAGCAGAAATTCCTTCGAAAACAATAAATTAATGAACGAAGGATTACGAAATGGACAGAATACTAACGAACCGAAAAAATGCCTCATTGTATTAATATTATGAGCACAAAGATTGGAAACGAATGAAAATGAATTTTTGCTAAGATTCAATTTTCATGTCATGAGAAAACGAGCAGAAGGAGCAAAAGGGAAAAAAGGAGAAAAATTGTAAGGGTATAGAAATGTGACACAAAAGTGACTGCAAAAAAGTAGAAGAAAAAAAAAATTATAAATATATTCATTACCTGAAAATATCTGGCACTCTCTAAATTTCCTTCAAACTTATTCCTATAAGCAGATAGAAGTCGCTCAAACGGATGCCTCACTATAATAAATCTTGTATAATCTGATAGAACTTGTTCTTTCTCTTCGCTTGATAATGAACTAAATTTATCAAACCTTTTGAGCATTCATTCATACGTGTATTAATTTTTTGAGTTCCAGTTGGTTAATATAGTTGAGAAATCATTGAGGTGGCATAGAAAGGGATGTTAAGAAATAGTTAATTAATTTTTAATTCTTCATAGGGTCACTAATGATTTTGTAGAGTTCAAAAACTAGTGAACAATAATACTTACAGTCCTGGAGTGTGTGCTAATGTTGCTGGTATACGCAACGGATCAGTTTCATTTGTTTTTTCAGTTATCATCATTAAGACTCGCTTCCAATTGGTGCATGCAACCTAAATTATAAGAAAATAATTCATGAATAAAAACTAGAATTGTTTCAAAAACTGCCAGCATTCTAAAACAGACTAAAAGCTTTACAGTGTAATAACTTTGGTGTTGAAGAACCACACAATACAATCTATCTTATGGTATGCAATTAATAATTAAGTCAAAACTGATTGCAATTACATTTCATTCGTATTTAATGAATTTGTCAAAATCAACTACATTCCAAACCATTTCATAATGATGCTAATATGGCAGTTGCTTTGACATTGTTGTGGAATGAAATGAAATTGATTGCTTAACCACATTAAAGAAAAATAGATGTAATTTCAATTCAAATTGAGACACTTACCTTAGGAACGTAACAGTATAGAAATTTATGGTTTCTGTCAATCAATAAATGCTCCATGTCTACTTCACTCATCTCATGAATTGATTTTGGATGACTTTCTTCATCATTGTTGTCTGTGTAGTGATACTTTTCACATTTTTGTTGCAACAATTCCTGACGCTGGATGTTATTGTTTTGTATTAATCTATACTCAAAGTTTCTAGCATTTGATGCTGATAATAGAAGAAGTATGTTGATGAGAATTATTCGAGTTATCACATCACATGACATTTTCTCGGCAAAATTTTTTAAGTCTTTTCGTTGCTTTTTTTTAGATTAAAAGAAATTCTTTTGAGCCATAAAGAATTATGAGATTATGTTCTTATACTTATTAAGTTGTTCCATTCATTATAGTTGTTCTTGTTCTTTAAATATTCAAATTTCCCGTTTAATGATGCTTGAATATCTTATTGAGACTTAAAAATCATTTCACATTGTGCATTTTATTTGAGTTGGTTCCATTTAAAGCTTATTTGCGAAAATCATTATTGTCTTTCTCCTTAATTAACCCTGTAACAAACTTCATTAATTATCATGAACATTTACTTGATGGGAAGAAATAATATTTCATTTGACGTAAATTAATTAAGCAAAGCTTTCGAAAATTTTCATGAAGTTCATTAAAGTAAGCACAAAATGCCGAATATGGTTTTGTGAAACAAGTCTATGTTAATATTCTTAATGCGCTCACGATGAAAAAAAGCTAATCCTTAGGTTTATGTGATTTTGTTTATCCTCAACGAGTGAGTGTTCTTTGTGTACGGATGTGTTTAACAAAAATGTTGGAGATTTATAAGTAGTAAATAGTTCTTGTATTGCACTTCCTATGAGTTTGGTACTTTTGATGATGTGGGTCTGAAAATATAAAATAAAGAAGAACTTTGAATTTTTTTTAATATTTGAGCTTTAGGAATTGTTCAAAAATGATGTCTAATATTTTAGGGAGAAGGGGGGGGGGGGTCGAAATTGCACAAGTCGGTTAATCGATCAGAATACCGGCACCAAGCCGGTGTGACACTTGCATGGTGCTAGATTTAAAGCGGAGCCTTCATCATGCCAGAATCAAGCTTTTATATTCCATTTGTACCATTCGGGAGGGGGGGGGGGGGGGGGGGGGGGGTGCTGCATGAATTTTCTTTATGCTTTCTTGCTATCGGGATTGGGATCGGGATTTCCCGGGATTTACCGATCCCGATCAATCCCGGGATCCCGAAATTTATCGGGATCGGGATTGAAAATCCCGGTTTTTTAGTTTAGGAAATTATTGATGTTTTAGAACCTGCTAAATACGCGACAGAAGAATTATTGCGTAAATCAAACGATTTATTAATTGCTGAAGGAACAATTAACTTTTTGCTAGACGAATTGTTGCTACAAGGAACATTATTGTCTCAAAAGGTTTACGATATGAATTGCGCTCGCATAGGTGCACGAAGAAATGGAACATTAATTGACTTAATACTTTACCTGAATAATCCTCAATATATTTCTTTAGACAAGCATTTTAAATCGTCAACAAAAGCTGCAATACATAAACTTGGCATTGACTTATTGAAGAAGTATTTTGTCAAAAACTCTACAAATGGAGCTATGGAAGCTTCAACATCCAGTGCAAATCAAATCCAACCGTCAAACATTTCTATTCGAGATAGACTGAAACTAAGCATATCTGAATATACATCATTAACAACAGATGCAGCAGCAACAGAACCAAATAACTTGAAAAGAGAGTTTAATTGGTATGACAAAAATAAGAAGAGAACCGTTTTATTATATCAACTTTACGATGAATTGAAAACAATGCAGCCGACCTCAACTCAAAGCGAACGAAATTTCTCTATTAGGAACAACATTCTTACAAAACAAAGAAAACGTTTACTTGACAAGAATCTAAATGCAATTGCATTTGTTAAAAGTTTTTTCATTAATGCTTAATTTTTATTATTATATTCACACCGTTTTCTATAACCTTTAAACTTACATCTTTATCAACATTTATTTTCTATTTTTGTTTATGTTCACATTTTTCAAAGGAAACATGGATTAAAACATCTACCTTGTAACACATAAAGTATAACTTATTAATTAAGGAATAAATGACCGTATAAGTAGCAAAAAAATATATAATTTTTTTTGGGAAAAAAGCAGAAAAATGCTGTTTTTTAAATTTTTTTACACATTCGGGATTCCCGGGATTTCCCGGGAAATCCCGAAAAATTTCAATCCCGATCCCGATCCCGAAAATTTGTCGGGACCGGGATTTCGAGAAAGCATAATTTTCTTTATAAATAAATGAAAGTTTAAATTTGTGACATAAGGAAAAGTCGTCCATTCATTTATGGACAATACCAAAAATGTGAAGAATCGGCATAGAACACAGTTTGCCAATAATAACACAAACATGTATATAGGAGGAGGGGGGGCTCTTCAAATATAATATTAAGTCAAATCCTTGTTCCCACTTTATCGTTGAAAATAAAATCAAAATTCAAAATCATAAGTTTCTTTACCTTGTGTAAAGCAGATTAAAACATTGTATGACAAACAGACAGAGATTATTATGTAATATTTATGATTACACATGTCACTCGACACAGTATGAATAATCTTCAAGAGTAAAAACAGAGAGATATGATATAAGAACAATAATGAACATGCATTCATTTTAAATCATAAAGTATGTGCAGTGAAGCTTCTCTCCGTCTGTTCAAACATGCAAGTGGTAGATTAAGACTCTTTAATGACTCTGCTTATTATTTCTCATCCACTTATAGAATTCTTTATCGTTCATAGCGCTATTTTATTGATGCGACTTGCTCATACCACGCTTTTTTAATTGACATAATAACCAAGGGACTTGCTTGAACAAGCAATCTATAAATGAATGTTGATTATTTTTCCAATGATGACAAGAATGTTTTTGCGATAAAGATTCGACGAATATACAATAAACTTCTTAATTACTTTTTCAATACGAAATGAAAATCTTTATCAAGTAATTTCCCATTAAAATGTAATTTTCAATTTCCATTTTCGAAGAACTTGTCATATTATCGTGTGACAATTAAACATGAATGTAAGGGAATTTATGTATCAGAATGTAATATTTACACTGCAATTAACTTTCATATAAGGTATATGTAATCAGCATCACTAAAATCTATCTTTCTTTCTCTCTCTTCTTTTATTTCCTTCCCATTAGCAAGTCTGCAGAAATTTCTGCTTTTTCACATATGCTTTCGTGCGCAGGAAAGATAGAAACAGAACTATACGAGCGAAAGAAACTTCAATCATTTTTATGATTCTGAAATGTCGACAATAATAAAATTGTGTAATTACATTGTGAACGAATGTATTACGAAGAATAAATTCAAACTCATGCATGAAGATGCTGATGATGCTGATAATAAATGAACGCTAATGGAATAAGATAGCATAAAATTAGCAAAGTATAGATATTCTGAATTAAGCGCATCCTAAGGTTGAATAAATGATTTAATTCAATTTTAAATCAAGAAAACAATTTGATGTAAAAATAAACGAATGTTTGCAAATTCAGTCAAAGAAATATAAATATAGCGAATTCTCGGAAGGAACACATTCATTCTTGAATATCTAAATTGTCTGTTGGCTTTGGAAATTTCGGTAGACTTGAATTTCTTCTTTTTTTGCTCAATTCAAAGTTTAATCATTTTTAAAATATTTTTAATTTTCAAACGATAAAAAAATGTTCATTTGAAGCTTTGTGAGCTGGAAAACAAACATTATCATCAAATTAAATGTCAAGGTTAGATAATTACATGACCCAGAAAATAAATGTAACTGGAATGATTCATTATCATTCTAGAAATAATATTTACACTTCAATTCATAAACATTTTATCACTGACATTCTATAATGTATAGTAAATTCCATTAGATTTAGAAAGTTATCTTATCAAATGTTTTTTAATACCGACAGTGGAGTGATTGGAATTTAAACTTATGACGCAATCGATTCTTTCCGACTTTATCAATCAATAAATCGGAAATTCAAACAATTTTTATGACGAGACAGTGAATAGATTTGCATAAAATTTCGAACCGATTCTTTTTTATTTTAAAAGTAATTTACATTGAAGAAAATGTGGTTTTTGAGCATTCATGAACTCGATTAAAATTTGAAATTTCGAAAATTAGTTTTTCAAAATAATATTTTAAGATGATTTTATTCAGAACTTCAAAATTCACAATATGACAATTACCAAATCAATAACATTAAAATTAGAATTGATATATTTAATTTAAAAATCAGTTATCGACATATTTAATATTGCCAATAGCTCTCCAATGTCATTGATTCAATATTTAAAATTTATATCAAAAATTAGCAAGGGAAGTTGAATTAATTCAATTTATCGCTAAATTGACATTGATTGTACATATTTCATGAGCTTTTTGTTACGAATGAAATCGTTTATTGTTTCAATAAAAATATTGTATATTTACTTAGAATTTAACATTACAATGTGGGAAATTTATGCCAATAATAATAATACAAAAATTAGCTTTATTTCCCAAAAGACCCAAAAATTGTACGTTAAAAATGTTTATGAATGAATATGAATTTAATTTGTTAATTCCTTTGTCACTTTTAATAATTTCATATTCAATGAAAATTCTTTTGTATGACATGAGGCTCATTAATCAATTTTTAAATATATAGCTAGTCATTTTGTAGTCAAAGCAATATTAAATAACATACAAATTAAGTATGAACTTTAATCAAATAATTCGTGAACTTGAAATCCTCTTGTCAGTTTTAAAAAATATATAAACTTTATTTCTTTTCTCCGAATAAAGACGGGATGATTTATTGATATCTTATAAAATAATTTTTTATCGGTTTCTAATAAATATTTGAGCATTGACATTTATCAGATCTACCGAGAATTTTTGTTTTAACCTTTTGACATCCTTCGATGTCTATTTATGTGTTTATCAACCATAGATTTGTTGTCCATTGACTTTTGGCTTTAAAGCGAAACATTTCTCGATTTGAGGACACAAAAAGCTGATTTTACCGGGCTTTAATGCCAATATTCTGAACTGGTAGAAGGTTTCGAAGAATTGAGCGAATTTAGACGATCTCTAAGTGCGGCAATGGCCTCACATGTGCTTGGAATTAAATAAGTAAGGAAAGCCAAAAAGTGTGCTACTGGACATCCTAACCATATAATACAATCTATTTTTACTGAGATTATTGACTATCGAAACATTTGTCTAATTGTACAATATAATACACATT